AAAAATGTTCTTGAATTGAGAAAAAAAATGCTCAATTTTTTCAGTGTAAGCAACACGTCATGCCCTCCCACTTCACTAAAGCTAGATGAAAAATGTACTTGGGTGCATCTTTGAACGTCTCGATCAGTGGAGAGTGTACTCAAGTGTGTTTTTTATTTTTCAAGGTAAAAGACCTCGAAGTTCTCCTTAATCTGCATTTTTCATTGTTGCATGTTCTCTTTAATCACTCGAACGAACAAAAGAGTATCTTGTGTGTCCATTGAAGTCATCAACAAACGCATTTAAATCAACGTAACTGAGAAATATCGAGTGTTGTGATAATGTTAACTATTATTCAACTACATTGTCCCCTAGAGTTAATTAAATTTGGCTTCCGCCTCGATAAAAGGGCGAAACGGTATCGTCTTACAATTAGCCTTTCGTCGGGGGGCGATGGAGAATCCAAATACACTCGGGAATTCGTCTCGTTAACGCTACCCAACACAGGCTTCTATTTTCGGTGTCTGGCCGTCTCGACTTGATGTGTTATGCCCGGTCAACGTGGGGCCATTGTTGCAGTGTGTCACTCGTTGCTCGGAGACTGCGCTAGAGCACATGGGAATGCGCACACATTAAACGATGAGGGAAGCGCAGGGATTGATCCCTGGAAAAACCGAAAATCTGACCCTTTCGCTCCGGGTGAAAAAAAAACTTTTTCAGTTTTCACACTTTCCACATACTTTTGAGAGTTCTGAATAACCCGTCGCTTAAATAGTTGGAATCAACGTTCACCCGGCTAAAAAATTCGATTTTGGCGAAAGTCGACTTTTCCCCTGAAAAAATTCAAGATCTGACCCTTTGGCTCCGGGTGAAAAATTTTTTTGTTCAGTTTTCACTTTTTCTACATAATTTTGAGAGTTCTGAATAGCCCGCCCCTTAAATAGTTGGAATCAACGTTCACCCGGCTAAAGAATTCGATTTTGGCGAAAGTCGACTTTCCCCCTGAAAAAATTCAAGATCTGATTTTTTTTTTCAGATTCAGATTTTTTCAGATTTTTTTTTTCAGTTTTCACTTTTTCTACATACTTTTGAGAGTTCTGAATAGCCCGTCCCTTAAATAGTTGGAATCAACGTTCGCCCGGCTAAAAAAATCGATTTTGGCGAAAGTCGATTTCCCCCTGGAAAAATCCAAGATCTGACACTTCGGCCCCAGGTGGAAATTTTTTTTTTTCAGTTTTCACTTTTTCCACATACTTTTGAGAGTTCTGAATAGCCCGTCGCTTAAATAGTTGGAATCAACGTTCACCCGGCTAAAAAAATCGATTTTGGCGAAAGTCGACTTTCCCCCTGAAAAAATCTAAGATCTGACCCTTTGGCTCCGGGTGAAACAAAAATTTTATCTCGACATTTGTCGCGTAAAAATGCATCTAAATGCTTCCAAACAAAAATATTAAATAAAATGATAACATAATATTTAAAAATAATGCAGAAACTACTCTAAACAATGCTTGATTCGTCCTCACAGTCAACATATTTTCATTTTCACTGAAAAAATGAGGGATAAAATCGCAGAATGTGCAAATTATTAGGATGAACAAGAATTTCTGGAGGGAGGGTCACTGCGCCAGCTATTGTCCTGTGATAACCGCCCACGTGCTGTTTCATCGTGAATTATCGCGTGGAATGCAGATAGTTTAGTATCACCACACACACATGACTCATCACTGTTTATTCCCAACGACAATGATAAACAATGAGCAAGTTTTGAATGAGCGAGTGTGGAGGGAGTCTTTGCTTTTGTCAATATCTTGATGAATGGACAGATGGCAGTGGCCAACGGAGACTTGAGCCATTCAATTGAACAATTGGCGAGCANAACAATTGGCGAGCATTGGGGGGGGGGGGGGAGATTTGAGAGTACATGACTAGGGGAGTTCATTATCTTCAATTCACGACGAATGAAGACTGTGAAATCCTCAATAAAGAAGAGATAACTTTTATTTCTTCATCGGTTTTCATTGTTCTCGTAATAGACAGTTGTAAAAATTCAAAATTCTAGGAATTCCGCGGGGAATGCCTCCACTCTCCCTTTCAACATCGTCTCTCTCTCGTTTTTTTTTTCATTCACATTGGAAAATTACCCGTCTGGCGAGTTGCAAAATGAGAGTACAAAGAGAGGTTTCGAGACAATGCACCCGCAGTGTTCAGCGAGTACCTCAGGTACTCATTCTTTTTTTTATTCAAAAATGCATTGTTGTCCCACGACTATCGACTGATTAAAAAATCTGTCTAAATTCCGCAGACATAAAGAGCGAAGATGTCTGCACTTTTTTCAGCCCCACGGGGACAAAAATCCATTCAAAATGAGCTCTCAATTTTTTTCAGCAATTTTAGTTGAAACTGTAGTGGAAATTATGATATTTTTGTAAACAGGAACAGTATTTTTGCGAAATTTTGATCAATTCATTGCGTTTTTTCACTCAAAAAATTGAGGGAGGAATTTGGAAAGCAAATACAGATCGCGATTGCTAGAATCCTAATTAACAAGTGGTAATTAAATGAGAGGGACAATTATTAACGAATTCCTCTCTCCATTTATTCGTGGGCAATGATCTGAGTTATCACAGTGATAAGAAGCATTCATCCCGGCCGTCACTCCACTCTTTTTGTCCCGGTTCTCCGTTTCCTCCGGATGAATAATCACAATCCAAGTAGGAAGTCCTACGACTCCACGGCTTTTTCAATTACCCATACAATTCAATTTTTTTCGTCCAACGCGAGTGAAAAAAACTGTTCGCATCAGCGTTGGACATTTGACGAAAAAGCAATTACCCGGGACGAGCCGATAACGTCACTCACCCGGAGGGTTTTTTTTTTAAAGGCCCACCAGAATTGAATTATTGTAATAAGAATCCATCGAATGGAATGCGAAAGATAAAATTTTTTTGACAGGGAGAAACATTTTAAGCTCGCCGCCAGATTGATGTGCTCCAAATATTCGCGTCGAGTTAGATTGCAAAATGTGCTTTTAACCCCTTGCACTTCCACTGCCGGTTGGGGGAAAATATTCCAGACACTTTTCAGTTTTCGTGGATAAAATCGCTCTTGACAGTTTCAGAGAGGTCCAGAGGGGGGACCATTATAGATTTTTTTTGTTGAACGACAAATAATAAGAAAATTTATTTTTATTTCGGAGGTGAGCTAAAATGAACTATTTTTAATCTTCAGTAATTCTGGAACTGCAGAGTGAAATTTCCCGATTTTTTTTTCATTTTCAAGATATTTTTTCAAACTTCAAAATGAGCCTCGATTAATTCAAATTGCGTCGTTTGGTCAGGCGTTTCGTCCTTCTTTCCATTTTGCATGAGAAACAGCAATATAGGATAGTGGCCTCATTTTCAAAAGCCCACAGAAATATTCCCTCCAGTATTCATGGTGCAGTCTACACAGCGAGAAAACCCGGCAATCTAAAATTACGAAGAGAATTTTTTTTTCTAAAACCGCCTCGGGGGCGAGAAAAATGTCGTGCAAAGCCCGGAGAAAAAAAGAAATTATACCGCGGGCCCTCTTTGTTTTTCATCCAGGCAAAGAGAAAGGCAGGCTGTACTTTTGCCCATTGTTTTTGTCTCGCCTTGATGGTGACGCCGACATTATCGACCGGGGCGATGGCCTACTTCGTCGGTACGTCAGGAACGGGTATTCCCCGACGTTTGTCTCTCGCATACCCTATTTACATCATCGATGAAAGAAGCCCTTCATGCCATTCTATTTCCGTGGACATATGCCATCGGCATGTTCTCAATGTGAATGAGGGAATAACTGGTGATATTGAAAACATTTTTCTTTCACTCGGCATACGACAACTTCCGGTGTGTGAATGTCCTGTTTAAATGGCTATTTATACGACCGTCGTTGGCTCTCAATGGAATACAGGAATGGATAATTATTTTTGGATTTCCTTTCTAAAAAAAAAGGATGGGCAATATCTCAAATCGAAAATGGGAACTCGAACATGGCGGATATCTCGAGCGAATGGAAAAAGTTGGGCGGTTTTCATGAGTACAATTGTGTTGCGTCGAATTTTCATGAAGCCCGGCTAACAAACAAGAGAGAATTGAATGCCATTCTATGAAACATGAATAAACGAATCATAATTGTCCAAATAATTTAGGTATATAGTGAAAGTGATCGATTTTTTCACTTTGAAGAAATGATATTGATATCCAAATACTCATTTTTGAATTGACATGTGAACTAACTAAAAATTGAGAACAGTGTGGGATCAAAAAACATTGGATTCCAGTAATTCGCACTCTAAAATGTGTTCCAGAAGGAAATGAATGAGGCGGAAAATTTAATTCATGATTAATTTAATTTTGAGATTTTCAATTATGACTGTTACAATTACAGCGTGCTGTAGCGCGCGTTCGGTCTCGTGAAGTAAATTGAAGAATGGCGAATGTTTCGAGTGCACTCCTTCATAATTTTTAATGTCAATTGCACAATCTGTAATGACTCATTGATTAATTAATTGTCGTAATTACGGAAGAACATGAGCCGACGAGATGTTGATTTTCTCACTTCGTCTCTCGTTTTTTTTATCGCCATTGTCATTGTACCGATGATTGGCTGAACCAATGATAAAAAACCGTTGTAACGAAGCCCACGTTCAGCAACTGTTAATCGCAATAGCACGACCTCCAGTTGTTCCAACTAGCGACGACCGGGGGACAAGGCTGTAGCCGAGTCCCACGGCCGTGGGACGTTACCCCAACAACTCGTTGTCGCTTTTTGTTGCATTTCGTGTAAGACAACAGAATAGAAGACGTCCCTCTGCGCGCAAAACCCACAGCAGCGTTTATTTTCGTCTCTCCCTCGTTCCATGGTTTTTCTTCTTGTTTGAGGGATCACTACCGTTCGTTCACGCCCCTCTCTATTTCAGGATGAAAATAGATGGTTGAAGGCATTTATTTGAGTATCCGGAAGTTAATTTGTTTTTTTTTTTTTCAACTTTGTTACAGATTTTCGGGGCACGGATACACGAACCACACCTGAAATGCCGATTCCTTTTTAAGGTAATTCGAATTTACAAAATGAAAAAATAGTTTCAAAATGAAGTTATTTTATTTTTAATGTTTGGATGAAAGGCAAGAATATTAATTTAAGAAAATGCAAACAAATAACAGAAAACAAGTGGAAAGTTGCTTTCGTCAGAACATAGTCAATATATTTTTGCTCATAAATTCGCAATTTGCTTCCGAATGGAATTTCTGTGATTTTACATTAATTTATTGAATTCTATATTCCCCCAACGTTAAAAAATTTTACATTTCCCTGAATATTTTTTTCAAAATAAATTTTTTTAACAACAGATGATGCAATCGATCTCATTATCGAACTCGATTAAGATGGCATTGGGAAGAATATAACTATCCAAATAACAATTGGATTTATTAATTATTTATCAATTGAATTTATTAATATTAGTTATCCCGACACAAAAAAATTGGAAATTTGGATTTCAACGAACACAATGCTTCCATTCGGCAGCAAAAATGACGCATTCCACTTCAATTTCATCAAATTCTCAAATAAGGGGAATTCTCTTGAATCAAAAAATAATATTCTTTAATTTCTTTCCTCCACGTATGACTCAATCAATTAGTACTCTCTCTATCTCACCCCTCGGCATTCTTATCGTTCACCCCCATCGATGCGTCACCATGACCCTCGTCGCCCCTCCCATTCCCAAAATTTCCTGTTTATCTACAACCCAAACCCAACTGCATTCTCAATCCACCGGAAGTCATTACCTCTGATAAATGGAGCATGACGTGTCCCATTTGAATTGCCCATGTATTAGTATTGTCGTAGATTAAGGTGCAGTTGAACTCCAACGACACACCTCCAGCATCGTACGCATTAGTTTGATATTCTCTCATCTTCTGGGTGAGTCTCCCGCGCAGCGAATGCTTGCGGCCCGCTGTCAGCTGTGGAGTTGGCGAAGGTCAGGGTCGTGCGAGGGGAGAGACAGCATAATCAATGCCTGTCCCCCCCCCTCCCCAGCCCCCACTGCAATCGCCATGGTAACCCATCTCCTGACCCATTCCTAGTATTCGCACTCGTACTGACTGCGTCAGTTGGCGAAAAAAGTTGTCCCCGCGAGGTGCATTACGAATTCTTTTGTTCACCCGAAATTTCGAGACACCTTGAACTTTTACATTTGGGGAGAATGGAGAGAGTACTGACGGATTGGTATCACCGTGTGAAAGAGTCATACGTTGCAGTGTGGGTTTACCGGGTGTTTCAGACAACTGGGAGAATGTCTAGCTCCGCAAGTACCTGCGGTGGTAGCGCCAGCGGGGGAAGTGGAGCTCTCAGTCTCATGGGGTGTGTAAGGGAGGCATCTCCACCCCCGCAGGATCACGGCGGCATGGGGGAGGTTGGGGGACAACGGGGAGCTGATACACTTCCTAAGGGTGAGTTTTTATTAGTCAATTTCTTGCGTTTTTTTAATCGATGAACACCATTCAGTAGCGAAGTGGTAATACGGTATAAGCCAATTTTGACTGTTGACCAGTTTTCAATGAATATCTCGGAATCTAAGGGAGAACAAAATTATTGTTATTATCTTTTTTTACTTGAACATGTTCAAAGTCTCCACAAATTTTCCCATTATTCCAATAACAACCATTAAGCGATTATTCCAATGGAAATAATACGCCGGCATTCTTCATCGATCCACAACGATCATCGATGCACTTCCGGTTGATCGGGCTCGCATTATACCGTTGCACTGATTTACGCGAGTTTTCGCATCGCAGCGGTGGTTCCCGGGACCCGAATGGCCCCCGGGGATGCTTCAAACATCACTGCGCATCACTGGATAATCGACAGTGCCGGGAATCCACTCATCCATGAAAATCGAAGCGTCCCATGATGTTTTTATTCTTCTGAATCCCTCAAATAATTCTCAGGGTTTTTTTTATCGTTTCGTGGCCCGGAGTAATCGATAATCCGGGTGATATCTTCGATATGTCGGGAGATTATCCGAAATTAGCGAGGATATTTATTGGCATGAGGTTGAGGAAACGTTTATTGACTTAGACTCGTTTCGAGGGGAGGACAAACCGGGTCAGGGCTTTAGGAGAGACAGTTTATGGGTCTTTTCAATTCATGAGGAAAATTTAATGAAGAAGTCGATGAGGAGTAATGATAATTATCATTCTAACGATATTTCGTTATTGAAATTGGACTTTTTAATTTACATTTTGAATGGATGCTTTTTTTTATGTCGTAATTATAACATGAGAGGGTGTGAGGTGAATAAGGGAGACGAGTAGGAAATTTTGTCAGCATTCAATGAAGAGAGAAATTTCATTTTCCGTATTTTCATGATATTTTTCAATTTATGAAAAAATTGATTTGAAAAATATTGACAATTATCGTTTTAATAATATTTCGTAATTAAAATTGGACTTTTTAATTAAAATTCTTGAAGATTATATTTTTTTCATTTCATAATTATTATGAGGTAAAAGGGAGAGATGTGACTCATGCGAAAAATCAGGAAATTTTATCGATATGTCATCAAGACATAAATTTCATTCTTGTTAATATCATCATTGAAATCCATAACTTCTGACAAGTTTTATGATATTTTTCAATTTATGAAAATAATGAATGAAAAAAATATGGACAATTATCATTTTAATAATATTCATAATTGAAATGGGTCGTTTGAATATAAATTCTGTATGAATATAATTATTTTTGCGTCACAAGTCTTGCATAAAAGTGTGTGATGAGACTGATGGAGATGGTTACAAAATTTTATCAACACATTATCGAGCCAGAAATTTCTTTTCCGTTAACATCTTGTTTACACCACAAATAATCTCGTCAAATTATCAATTAAGAAGAATGTTATCACATCTCTTGAAAAACCTCCAATTGCCCAGATGAACTGACAGTTACAAAATATTTCAAGTTTCCAATTTCATCTCCCAATTAAAAAATCCCAAAAATTCTTCGTATCCACCAGCAATCGATTTCCACAAGTTCAGAAAATTCTCCGAGTGTCTGAAATTTTTCTCTAAATACCTGATTCCACAAATCGACCGCCGAAAATGGTAATTCCATTAAATCCCACATGATTTCGTCTTCGATGACTATTGCACAAGCACTTTTGCTTTCACTCGACTCAACAAATTGTCGAGTTATCGCATTCACCTGGTGGGATTCGGGTCAGTGGAACAATTTTACTCTAAAAAAAGATCGCCTATGTCGACTGTTTTGCATGCAATACAGTGTGACACACACTCGCCTTTATTTTTATTCCTCGTGAAATGACGAGTAATGTCGATCAATCGAATGTGATGATTTTTAACGGAGATCGTGTCATGATCAATCCGTATTATCATTGTCCCCAGTCTCCCTGGAATTATGGTGAATACGAGGTCAGTGGAACGTTTGAACGCACTCGGGTTTAATATCGCGTGTGCCGTCGATGCGCTCAATGCTGTGCAATTTACTCTGCTTAGGCCTCCTTCGACTTTTACCGTTTTATGGGGATATAACGATTGGAGATTCATCGTATTTGAGTGAATTAAGGTCACACGAGAAGGCGTATCACAATGGAAAATACTATTTTCGTTTGTTTGTCGCATCTTTCAATCAACTTAACTCTCACTTAAAATATCCAAGAATAAATTTTTCACGTTTATGAACAAATGATTTTTGTGGTGGACTATTGATTGTTATAAATTATTTATAGAAAATGCCCATAATTTTCTAAAACTGCAATTTTAAAATTATTTCATTGATCTTTCTCCAAAAGTAAAGTTTCTACTTTTTTTCAGATTTTTAAAATGTTTTCTAACGGTTCAATATCGAGAGTCAAATCCAGACATGCAAAGTTTAAATAATAAAATCATCTGAAATGAAAGCTCTGATGTTTAACTACAAAAGTAGAAAAACATTTCACTGGAGAAAAAATGGCCAAAGTACTTGGATATTTTTAAATTCATTATTTAAAAAAAATGAAAATTTTGTGGATTATTGGGTAATAATTCAGAAGAATGACATTGTATTTAATGTAAGGAAAAAATTCTGAACTTTCAGCTTTCACTGAGAATTCAATAAAATTCCAAATTCTGCAACTTAGAAGAATTTCCAATCGAAACATGAATATTGTGGACGAAATTATGCTAAAAATTACCAGTTAATTTTTCATTTTCATGGAATAATTGAGCCGGAATTTACAGTTTTCATTTATTTTTCCCTAAAATACGAAATCCCCAGCAATTACAGTCTGACGTAAGATAATATTTCATATTTAATCATCGATTCACATTGAATGCATTCAACTCATTCTGCTTTCCCACTGAATACAATCGTTACAAACATGACTGATGAGTGAAATATTCATGTGTCAGAATGATAAATTAATTGTCCATAGCTCCGAGGATGAGTTGCCGGTAATTCATGATTGATCGATCAACATGCTCACGACTTACTGACGTCGCACTCTATATAAGGGAATGATTCGAACTGTGTCCTTTCAGGATTTTATCGTGATTATTCAGATAAGGCTTTATGATAATCTAGAGTGAGTTGTATCTTATCTGCGGCCTTTTTGTTGCTGAGTGAGTTGTGATAGGGTCCAGTGGACGGTTTGCTAGTGAACCCGGTGGATGTGCATTCATAATTCTCCGCACATCTCATCTCATCTCAATCTAACAGAAGAAGAGAATGGTCTAAGCAAGTTGTTCAATTTTTTCATGTTTTTTTTGTGCTAAAAAATCAAGGAAATTATCATCTAGCAACAAAAATGGAGGTGTTTGATATCGAAGACTTATACGGTAAATAATTTTCACGTAAAAACTATATTTTCTGATTGATAAAAAGAAGAACTAATTTCTTATCTCAGTGTGCATTAGAATAAAAAAAGCTCAAATCAATAGAATTGTCATTCAATAACAAAAATCGAGGTGTAAATAATTTTGTCGCATTAAATAATGCAACATCTTTTCCCTCATCACCCAGCTAAATTCAGTGGAAGAATAACCCTCTTTAATCGCCGTCTAGTCTCAGCCCCTTGGGGTAAAAAATTCCCCCCGGTTAAGGGGCTGGCCCACCGATTATAAACCCCTCCACGTCCCCCCCCCCCAGAAAAAAAAATACAAAGAAAGAAGAGAGACGAAACATCGCAATCACACCAGATACACAATTGCAATTTTTTTCATCAGCAAACAAAAAGTCCTCGGAATTTAACTCTCCATTTTAAGACGCGAAGTCCCGTGATGCTGGCATTAAAATTTTTTTTATCTCCTTTTCACCTCATTTCTTTTCGTTTCCGNCTCCCCCCCCCCCCCCCAGAAAAAAAAATACAAAGAAAGAAGAGAGACGAAACATCGCAATCACACCAGATACACAATTGCAATTTTTTTCATCAGCAAACAAAAAGTCCTCGGAATTTAACTCTCCATTTTAAGACGCGAAGTCCCGTGATGCTGGCATTAAAATTTTTTTTATCTCCTTTTCACCTCATTTCTTTTCGTTTCCGGCATCGTCGCGACTGCGAGTGTATGTGCCGCTCACCCCTCATCCTTCCTGAGCGTATCGCAGGGTGAAAGCGCACGCCAGATGAGGGTTTACGTGGATATCCTCGAACCCCTCGTATTAATCCCCCGTACCCCCGGTAAATTTTTTTTTTCTCTTCGTTGAAGCGTCCAGCGACTCTAAATACTCCCCCTATTGTTGCAGTACTCACGAATCCACTTCTCGATATCGCACAATTGAAAGCCATCCCTCAGCAGTGAATACACTGATCTGTAAATTTTTTGTTTCACGGTTTTTTCGGAGAACAATGGCTGTAATTTGAGAGTAATGATGCTCTAAACTTTTGTCTGGGTGATAATGGATGAGAGGTGAATGGAAGTGAAGATGAAATACTCACGAGAAATTCATCATCCTCGCAACATGTCGAATGAAACAGCATTCTTGGTCGTGTTTTCATTCAGCAATTGCAAAGTAAATTGACAATTGATCTCGGGAATTTAAGGAGCTTGTCACTCGGTTCTTTTGATTTATTATCGAAGCGAAGAGCAACCCACGCATCTGTTATCATCCATCAATCAGTGTACCGTGATAATGGAAATTGAATTCGTACGTTGGATCGACTCAGCAAACTAGATTAAACCCAACTAAATATAGATTCTCACTATTAGCATCTCTCCAATTCTGTCACGCCGACATACCACCGAGCCCACGTCCCATCGATATTCCATTCGTTTCCTCAGCGTGTATCGGTGTGCTCGGGATTACCATGTATATCGATACATAATTCCATTTTCATGGCATCTACATGGCAGGAAAAATCTTTCCGAATGTACACTATTTCCTATGAATCAAGAATTTGAAAGATGCGATTGACAAAGTAAGAAAGTTTCGGCCAGGATTTGAGAGGCGACATGGAAATTTTTATCGGATCTTAGTTGCACTGAAATTTGAGGGAATTTTGTCATTTAAAATTCAGAATTTAATGGAAAAAACTATCAGGACAAGTAAATTTCGGTTGAATTATTTCATGAAAATCCATGGAAATCGGGAAAATTCCGATGAATATGCTCTTGAAATTTAAATTTTGATCCAACAGTGAAAGTTTAACATTTTTTTTTGCAAAACAAATCGTTTTTTATTTTTATTTTTAACCAGATTTCTTCATCTAGTCATACTCTAGACTGGAAAAAATCAAAATGAGATTTAAAATATAATTAAATATTTAAAGACATATTTTCCATTTGAGAATTTTCATTCCTTCATTCATGTCATCTTCACAAAAACCAATGAATAAAAATTAATGAAAACACGTCCTCCGCAAATTAATGCTCATAATTAATATAAAATTCACGGAATTGTGACTCATTTGTCCTTCCAGAACCAAAAAAACGAAGATTTCATCCTCTCCGAGGCCTCCGTCGGATTTTCCGTAGGAAAAGCCGAGGGGCTGCTGATGCGCGAATTAATTCGAGAAATGGTGAACGAGATGGTGATCTACCAACTAGAGATAGAGAGGAAGTGACTCTGAGACATCCAGCTGGAGTACCTGAAGAGGCTCGAAGCCGTAGTGCCAGTGAATTGCTCACAGACTCCTGCGATCGTCAGAGGTAAACTCGGGCGGAATCATTACCATTCACTTCTCTGATGAGTTCTATTTTTTCCCCCCCCACTCTGGATTACAAAATTTCTCTCAATTCTACTAATTACGTTTCTCATTACTTTCCTTTTATTTTTTTATGGTTATTATTTCAGCCGAAGACGAATCATGTGGCCCAAAAAATACAGAATATCCTTGAGGAATTCGTTCAATCAGTAAATATCTATCAGATTATTCGGCTTTCTGTGCGTTTTTTTTTTCTGTTTTACATTCACAGAAGTAAATTTATTCGCTCTTTTCATCAGATGGAAATTTATTTCTGTATCTGTAAATGTATTATTGTTCTCCCATAAATTAGTGAGTCTCATTATGTCGCTAAAGTTGGCTTATAGACCTCTAATACAAGAGTGAAACGTAAATAAAATGCAAACACTCGTAGCTTGGGGTGATGAATGTGTTTAGTTGTATAACGCAATTCAATTGTTTAATTAATTCATTGAATTGTTAGAGGCGCGAGACTGATTGTCTGAGAGCTTGGCATTGTCCTCTTGTATTTCTATCTCGACGTGTACCATTAAAACGTAATGGCTTCTGCATCTCAAGCGAGAGGAAACAAATGAGATTTTTATATCACGGTACTGTAGCAGTCATTTACGAGTAATCAGTAACTCATTATTTGGTGATAGAACGAACAGTGTTTGGATAAGTATTGCTTTTCCATCTCCAAAACTATTTTGCCCTTTCATTCCATAAGACGCCCATTCATCATCTATTTCCTTCACAAACTTTTTGTCACGATTAGTTATTATCAGTACGTTATTGATTAGAAAAATAATCAGAATTTGATTTCGTTCATCAGATAAATTCAAATTTTGTATTATGAGTAAGTCCATTGGCTTAAAACACTTGAATAAATGAAGAAAAGATAAATTCAATGCACTTAATGGATTCGTTCAAGCGTGAATTAATGACTAGAAAGATAGATTTTGTTTCTCTACTTATTACAAAAATAATGAACTATTATTGATGGAGTATTTATCTTCTGAACTCTGTCCATGACATTACATTCCACCAAAACTTCCCATTCACTTTGTCGATTCTGAAACTCGTTCTCGGCCACTCACTTCTGAGACATTTGACCTGTAAAATGAGAAAAGGTGTTTAGAAACTGTAATTTAAAACTTTTGACGTCTGAAAGATTGGGATGAACTCAAAGAGTACAAAATTCTAAATTATTCTGTTAAAAAGAAGAAGTTATTTGGATATTTAATGATTGGTTTCTAGGGAAAAATTGTTTCTGTCACAAGTTTAAATCCAATTTTTCGCAGATTCAACTTAAAAAATATCGTGTCATCCACTCCCACATGATTGGAGAGCCTCTCAGCCCCATTAAAAAAAGTAAAATTCTTGTTTCCAGTGTTTTCCTGAGACGTAGCGGGATAGACGAATCATTTGCGAAGCTGCGAGCTGGCTCGGGTCAACTCTCAGTGTCCCACGACAGTGTATTCCCCGGGGAAGTGCCCCATACCCGACCGCTGTCATCCCTGGATACCCTGGCAACACTAGAAGTATGTCTCCTTCTCTTTATTTTATCAAACACTCTACCATAAACCTCTGCGCAGGTTAGATGATGAATTATTACTCACAAAGGAGAGAGAAGAAAAGGATGGGCCTTTAAATTGTTGCTACATATTTTCTTACCTCAGTCCCTGTTATATAAATTTGAAAGGATGATAGTAATGCACGTATGAGATGGATATTAAAGTTTACCCAGGCACTTGGAAGAGAGGTAGGAAGTTTTATAGTGATACTCGAGGCTCATTCTGAATTATTAAAAAGATAAACGAGAAACTTTGGGAGTTTAAGCGTGCCTGCAGTCTCTCAACTTCCTGAAATTTTCAGTTCACTATTTTCGGTTTGGCAATAAGGTCAACCACCGAAATAAATTTCTACCTCAAATAGTTTTATATTAATTTTGATGAGTTTCGGTAAACATGCTGAACTGTGCAGAGATTTTTATGACTGAAAATGCTAATGGGGGTGAAGCATTTTGATTTGATAATTTGATTTCATGAAATAAGTCGTTGTCGATCAAAGTATCACCAAATTATTAAGTATGTCTCAGTGCTTTGGTCTTTTCATTTAGTAATATTATTCTAAATTGATTGAGCACCAGAGTATTAATATTTTGCGAAAACTTAGGGTCAAATGGGGCTCAAATGCAAGCTCTGATGTTACAAACGTCTGATGATACAAAAGCAGAAAAGCGTTTGCTGCAGAAAAAATAGCCAAAGTACTTGGACATCCTTAACGGCCATCATTAGATGTTGAAATCCTCTTCAAAATTTACAGTTGAACAGATTAAAAAGATGAACGAGAATCCTTTGAAGTTGAACCATGCCTACAGTCTCTCAACTTTCTGAAATTTTTAGTTCACTATTTTCGGTTCGGCAATAAGGTCAACCACAGGAATAGATTTCCCCGTCTGTTTGAAGACGTCGTACTAGATGGCTTAAAAAATACGCTGAATTTGCCATTCTGGAGTACTAGAGGGTTTACGATCTATTTAAATGGAGTATCAATTCAATATTCTAGACACGGGTGGGTTGAACGCCTAGTTGAGAGAAGGCAACATGTGTTTAAAGCGTGAGCTGTCTTCGTAATGTTGGTTATTGAGGAGACTGTTAACTGTACTGCATCCACTGAATATGTTGGGAGGCAGCTGATGGCATGCCGCATTAACGATTTTGTCGCGAATTCATTCATTCGGTGTTTAACAAAATGCCAACAAATTGAGTAGAGAACATTCACACATATAGTATCACAAGAATTAACAGGAGTTATGTTACTTTGTACTCGCTAGAGTTAGGTAATTGCGAACGTAAAACAAACCGTTAACCAGACGATCCTCACACACTGTTAGATAAAAATTGAAATTGCACAGACAATTGATAAGTCATTTCTAGGAGCGGCAGCAACACGAGAATTCCCGAGTCGCTTGAATTTCGAACCAAAACGTGAACACTCAGTTCCAAAATCCGCTGAATTCTTAAATTTGAGAATTTAAGAAAATTTAGCATTTTCAATGATGAAATTCTCTGGAACTAAAATGTGATAAACATTTAATTTCAAGTACTGCACCAAAAACAGTCAACATTTCCGTAAACAAAGTCCTAACGACTCGACTGATGTGAGTCACGTACAGCAATGATTGGCCTAACGAGAGAATATTTCGTGATGGATTTGTCATTAAGTAATCATGGAAGTGGCCACTTATTATTGATACCAATTGGATTTAATAGAGTTCCGTGAAGTCTCGATAAAGAACCCTTCATCCTCGGTTATTTTCGTACCATGGAAGAGAGATTCCAAGGATACATTACAACTCCTGTGTTTCGAAATTTTTTAGAGAGTTTTATATCTCCCCCTTTTGAAATTGCGAATCACGTACAGACGAGAGATGCTCTGGAGTGAGTTAGTGCAACACGTGTGTGCGGGTTACAGTCGAAGTAAATCTAACCAGTCGACATTGATCTAACTCCATATCTTATTCGAAGGCGTTCCGGCCTGATACGCCTTAGGAAAGTACACAGTTGAATTTTTTCATTATTAAAGAGCCAACTCCTTTCCCGCTGCTCCCAATCCTAAGCTATTGTTCTTTATGCTGTGAATTAATGTTATTCTTTTTTCTTCTGTTTGCAGAGACGACAAACCAAAGCCAGTGCCGAGGCTGTGCACAAGGATTACGGATCGTACGGGCCTTACAATCATCGGATATCACCGAGAGTAAGTATCCAGCATGAGATTGCATGGTTGTATTTATGAAATGACGAATGCAGCATTCGTAAATTTAGAGAGATTCATTGAATCACTTCTCAACAACAGCCTCTTCTCAGGCGTTAATTAAAAAAAGGCATCATTGCCGTTTTATCTGGTCATTCTCGAGATATCTCGTTAGCAGAGACATTATGGATGCACTCATTTCTTCGGTCCTTCTCACCAGAGAAATTTAGCCCAGACTGTCTTAATGAAGAAAGTGATACACTCTGACTGATTAAGGGGACAAATAAAAAGTGGCAGATATTACGCATTAAATATGTTAATCTTTGCTGATTTGTTTTCCCCGACTGATAATATCTGTCCTCGTATATTTCGTTGGCCAATTACTCGGCATGTGGAATTTTATTTGAATAAATTAAAGTATATTTCAATAGTACTCCCAGGGAATTACAATTTATAATGACGGAGATATCAAGGAAATTGCCTTGGACTTGACATGATGTTGCGAAACGGGATATTGTTAGACAAAGAGTGATGAAATATTGAAGAAAGTGACAGACATTGGAGTAGACAGGGTCACAGAGATGAAAGCAAATCCGAATTCTTGATGAATGCCTTGACTGAATTCTTTTATGCTAAACCAGTTTCCCGTGTCTGGTCTTTGTTCACTGAGACATTTATGTATCGTGCAAATGACGTAAGACGTGAACATAAATCGTTGATGATTTTGCAAGTGTAGGGAACAAAGGAATTCAGTACTCAAATGAGGAATTCGGCTCTGTAGAAGGGAAAGTTTTATCTATTGATGACCTTTCCGCTGTCACATTCGATGTTCATTTTTTTCAATTAATTGTTTATTAATGAAATAGCTTATTATAAAATATAAAATTTTGTGTTTGGATATTAATATTATTTGCTCAAAGTGAAACAATCGATCATCGTTTTCACTATTTGCGTTCAGATTTTCCTATCCTTGACGTAAAAAATGTGAGATAATCTCATAATTCTAGCTATTAATTCAACCAAGTTTGTTCCAAGAAAACCTTCGTAAACGTAATATTAAAGAAGTAAAATTATATTCTCCTCTGACTCGAATAATTTGAACAATTATGAATAGTTTATTCATATTTCATTGACTTTTCTTTTGTTTGTTAATCGGACTTCGTGAAAATTCGACGCAAGACGCTTGTTCTCATGAAAACCGCCTTACTTTCCATCCATTCGAGATATTGTTCATGCTTTTATTTGGAAAGAAAAGTTCCAATGCAATTTGAAGGAATTTCTTCATTGAAAATTCAAAATTTACGGGAAAATCAATGGAAATTGTAAATTTTAGTTCATTATTCCATGAAAGGAATAGAAATCAGGAAAATTTTTAGTGACATCTCAACTTCATAATTTTGTCTCCCCTGAATACAATTCCATATTACGATGAAATCCCCATTTCTAACGGACAATATTGACTGGTCCCTCAATACCCAAAAAATGTTAAAATAATGAAAATCTATGTGCAGGTGCTGGAGCAAATAAAAACGGCCATAGAGAGCCGGAACCAGCTGGCCTCGTCGACCTCACCAGAGTCCACTCACGCCCCGAACGTGAGTAACAAGTAACATATCTTCATTTCAACCTCACTCGAAACTTTATATATCTTTTCTTTGTCATTCGAAACGAACTTTAGTGTTCAGTGCAGCTCTCCGCACTTGTCGGATACATAAATTTCAAATGAATCCCTCCCTCCTCTCGCCATTTATTTTCCCCCTTTTTCTCTTCGTCTTGAGGTTGTTTTTACGACGCGAGAGTTGACAAGCGTACACACATCCCCGGCATTTATTCCATGGCCTTTCAATTTTATCAACATTTCTTTCTGCATTCTTCACTCCACGACATTATCCGAAAAATTATTCCCCCGTCATAACACGAGTGCGTCACCAACAATAGAGTTTATAGTGCATATTGTGGACTATAGATTTCCTCGTTTTTTTGCGTTGCAGGCGACCGGCGAACGCTATCAGCAGGAAACCAATGAGGTGAGATAATACGGAAAGAACACACATTTTTATGCGTATATGTTTTTTTTTCACGTCAGGCTTCCTCAGTTATGCGCTTGATCCGTTCACACCCTGAAGCCTGCTTAGTTCTTTAGTCTAGATATTACTCGATAGGTCGATCCACCAGGTTCTACCCCAGTTAGTTTAATGTTAACACTGATGAGTTTCGGCAATGATGTGGTGATGTTGAATTTACATGTTGAGGGGGGAAGTTAGTTCGGGGTTCATCTGCTGACATTTTCGTAAATCGCAATACAAATGGGGGTGAAGTATTTCATATTAATAATTTGGTTTCATTGAATCATCATCACTTATTCTAATCATCAACGATATCCCAATTGTTCGATTTATCCCTTTTCATCCATCCTATTTCAAAATTGAAGATGTATTAACCTACAGTGGGTGATTTACATTCACTCAAGATGCACGAAAGTTATAAAGGAAAATTGTACTTGCTGCAGTAACATATTTGGTACAAATTTGCTTTAAGTCTTTCGCTGTGGACACTAATACTTAGTCATCTTAAATTCTGATTTCACATTTTTTAATGAACTGGTGTATAATCTTGAGAGGTTCGAGATCTTTTGCCACCAGAAATGCAGATATGGTGTACGGTCTAGGACACTTGTGCTTAATAAGTTTATCAATTAATCTTGCAGAATGCATAACACAAAATTGAATTAACAAACTTAACAAATGGAACCGTTAATTGATGAGAGGTTCTCATCTAACTGAATTACCCTAAAATTTCAGAATCGTTTCACAAGATCAGAGAAGCGAGACCGAATCGAGGAAGAACCCGCCAAATTCCGGGTAAGTCCAGCCCACTATCACCTCCAAATTCTCAATCTTGTGCAATTGAATGCGAAGGCGTATCGACCGGTTCTGAAAAACCCGTGACTCACATTAATTTTTTTTTTTCAACGAAACGGCCAAAACCGCAAGAACCGTTTTGTCATCCATTCTCAATCTCCCTTCTCTCTATCATTTTCAGTGTAATAAACAATCGAGTCCCGTGAATCGGGTCAAAGCTGGTACTGTCACCACTAACGACCCGTCCCTTATACGGAACATGAGTAAAACGTTGTGCCCCTCTTGCCCCTGCTCAATCCCACTGTCTTCCAGTCGTTCTCGTTCTCCTGGCTAACACTCCAGGCATCAACAGAGCCTTCTTCTGTGTATTCTCTATCACTCTATTATTTCCGGATGCTCTCGACGGCATAATGATAATGTTCCGTTACCGTGATTGCTGGTGAAACGGAGTAATTAGCGATAGTATTTTTTTTAAACATTCACCTGCTGTTGTTGGTGTTTTAGCCATGTTTTGACGGTTAATTGAAACAATTTCCTTGATGGTAACATTAGACGTTGTTGTGTTAATATTGTCTATTTTCTCTGATGTATTGATAGTTTCATCTTCTGAACGTTTTTCCTGATCAGCATGAAGAATCTATTTGCTTTCTAATAGTTTTAATTACAATAAGTCAACGAAAGTTAACGACTGATTGTTCTGACGATTGATGAGACTTGATTTTGGAATTTTATACTTTGTCAAAGAATTGGCGATGCTTTTCATTTATTGATATTCTTTATTTTGTCTGATACATCAATAGTTTCATCGTTTAAGCGTTTCTCCAGCTTATTGTGAAGGATCAATTTGCTTTCTAATAGTTTTAATCGCAATAGGTCAAGAAATTTACATATTTTTTAAAAATACAAATTCCGATGATCGATTCCGCCGCTCAAATGTGGTAATCTCAGATAACCTAGACGTTTTCAGTTAGCGACTAATTTATCTGACGATTAATAAGATTTGATTTTGACATTCTATCTTTTTTTTTATGACAAAACAAAGGTGATACACAGACAGGGGTAAATAATCGCTCTTTATTGGCTGATAGTCTTTATTTTCTCTGATACATCAATAGTTTCATCCTTTAAGTGCTTTTCCTGATCGTTATGAGGGACCTATTTGCTTTCTGATAGTTTTAACCACAATAAGTCAACAAATTTACATATTTTTAGCATTCACAATTCGGATGATTGATTCCGCCTTTCGAATGTGATAATCTCAAACAACCTAGACATTTTCAGTTAACGACAAATTTATCTGCCGATTAACAAGCCTTGACTTTCGCATTCTATCCTTTTCCGTCCAGGGGATAAAATAACCCCGTTCTAAGAAAAGATATCCATTGATAGCGGTAAAATATTAGCTTTTCATTCACTTATATTCCGCATTTTCTCCGATACATCAGTCTCATTTCTGATTAATGTGTTCAAAACATCAATTTGCTTTTTAATAGCTAAATAACCATAACTCAACAAATCGATGCATTCTAAAAAATGAAAATATTAAAGCGACTGATGTTTAAAACCATTTCCACCTTTCAAATATCGTAATCACCAATAATCCAGACATTTTCATTTAACGTCTGATTTATCTCACGATTAATAACACTTAACTCGCCACTCGGCGCGCACATCGGTGGTTCAACTTCATTTCATGCGTGAAAATTTTATCCCAAGTCTCATCAAACACTTTGACATTGATCGAGATGATTTATTTAAACTCACCACTTTTCCCCTCATTCGTTACCAACAATTTCTCAAGGATTGAAGTAAGAAGTGGATTCTAATGTGTCATTAATGAATAACGGAGATGATTTCCTCACTCGTCCACTGGCATTCCCCATCCACCAGTAATTTTCATTAATAGTAAGAAATACATCGCTTCATAAAGCTCGCGGAGAGATAAAATAGAGGGCATTTTTATTGGAGTATCAGTTATATTCTTTCTTGGAAGGAACATACCGCCGATGAAATTAGCCCGGATGATTCACACATACCGTGTGGGGAGTTTTAGTGGGTGGCTCGGAGGAAAGGGTGGAGACAAGAGAAATGAGAAGTACAAGACCACCAATGATTGAGACTGGAGTTTGTGTTGGTTCGTGTGCCAGTGTTAAAATGGAATTACCGTTACTCGGCCTGATGCCACTCACATCGCCGTTGAGTCACAGTATTTACCTCTCGCTCTGCACAGCAACACGTTGTTGTATTTACACTTGACAATAATATTTTTAAACATTCAGCGCCCCCGCATTTATTCTCTTGACTTCAATGTCGTTAAAGTAGGTTTCCCCCTTTGTATTAATTACCATCAGAGGGCGATGTAGAAATTTTATTCACCGACTGATGATAATTTACTGGCAGTTGGTAAAAATGTGGAGAGGGGCATTGAGATGTGTTTTTGAGTGAACGATTTCAAAATTAAGAGTAACAATTTCAGATTGACAGAACCTCAAGCAAAACCTAACTGTCATTCTAAAAAATCTATAAATAAAGACAATCCCCTCCTCTCTCGCTGTTTAAAAACTTTACTCGTAAGTCATTATGTTTTTGTTTGAAATTTTCGTCAATTTTAATAATTACGATAATGACAATTAATAATAATAATGGATAATTATTAGATTATTCATTATTACATATTCACTTCAATCTCATTAAGGGAGTTTTCGCCTGTACATTAATTACCATCAGATAGTCATGTAGGAATTTTAATTAACGATTGACGATAATTTACTGGCAGTCGGTAAAAATATGGAAATGAACATCGAGAGATGTCTTCGAGTGAACGATTTCAAAATAAAGAATAACAATGCTCGAATAGAAAGTTTTCATTCACAGTTGACGAACATTGTGGCAAATATTTATTTTCCGCAATAAGAATAGTTTATTTCCTCTTTCGAAACGACCCTTTCTCGAAACATTGCACTTTGTTTTATCCATTCGAGTGTAAAATCCACTATTGCAATTGTGAAAACTCGACCGCAGAACAGTGACTTTTTCCACTTGACTGAATGACCTCCCTTAACCGGAAGAGAAGCAATTGTCTTCGACAAACTCGACTCCCATAAAAACTAAACATTAAAACAAACTCAGAAATTTCTTCGAACGACAAATGCAAGATTGCAAGGTGAATCTCAAGGAGTTGATGAATTTTCGAGAAGTGAAATTGGATTTTGCTCGACGAACCGATGATACTTACCATCAAAATCTTCCGCATAAATCATACCTCGGTGTTTATCATTCCCGAGTGCATTACACCCGATGAATATTAATCACACGATTTCACTGTAATTAACTTTGTACATAGGCTTCCAATCTTCATGGATCCGAGGCCTCACACTGTTGGAAAAAAATTAAAATTTCATGGACGGTCGCCTAGTAATTTTCGGGAGACTAACATTTGAGGATATCCAAGTATCTTTTAAAGTTTGGTACAGACGACAGTATAGACTCAACCATTTTCAATCATCAAATTTCTCCATTAAATTGCGTGAGAAAAATCACGAATATTCTGCGTCATTCAAATTACATTTTGCACAGAATTATTTTTTTGAACATTCGTTGTTTATAAATATAAATAATTGAAATTTTGTTAAACTTTCGGAAACCTTACTTTATTTTTAAAATTGCAATTTTTGATGGTTTCATCAATCTTCCCCCAGAAGTCAACTTTCTAATTTTTTTTCAGATTTTTTAAATATTTCCTAAGAGTTCAAATGAAAGCTCTGATGTTTAATTAGAAAAGTAGAAAAGCATTTAACTGGAGAAAAAATAGCGAAAATACTTGGATATCTTGAAATTCCAAATTTTTTAACATCGTTGAGACGAGAATTACTCGACCTATTTGAATGTTCAATAAAATGATGAATATTCAGTTTCGAATTCCCATAAATTTTCAAATAATTGAAAATTGAAGAACAAATTTACCGAATTTGCCTCGATTTACTAATTTTTAGGCAATAATTGAACTGAAATTTACAGTTTCCATTGATTTTCCCCTGAAAATCCGAATTTTCAATGACGAAATTCCTTGAAAATTCAGTGCAACTAAAACGCAATAAAAAATTTCGAAAAGTGCACCGGAAATGTCATCCAAAAATGTTCAACAGTGCAGCGAAGCAAACAATGAGAGAACATGCATTAAAATAAGAAAAAATAAATTCAGTGGCATTTGAGTATCACTCGTGACATTTAAAACAAATACCAGAGATTTTCATTGGGTCAGACCCCTCCCCCCACCCACAGCTCCCGACATTACAATTTCAAACAGCGAAATCCCGCGAGAAAATTGTCCCAAATAACGAAGGAACAAAAAAAAAACACTTGTGGCAATTACAACGGTTTCGCGTCGCTGTATTTTCTCACGGCTTTTATCTATATTTTCCACGATTCGCCGGTGACTAGTTGGAAAAGGAGTCCCTCGGGCTTGCGAAAGACCTTTACCCGTATCAAAA